TTGACTCTCAACTACAGGTTACTAGTACATCGATCGTTGGGTGCAAATCCAAGCCATGCCGGGGGACTATGCTGGGGTTCCAGGCTCCTGGATTCCGCCTGCCAAGGAGCAGGCGGGCAATGAACCAGTGGACAGAAGATGTTCTTTCAAACTGTCACTCTATCATGAAAATAAAGAAATCTATTTTGTTTTAAAAAGGCTATGAATGATTCCACTGACATGATACAGTAGAAAAGATAGCACTACAAGAGCATGAAAATCAGGAGAGGCAGGGGTGGCTAGACAGAAAGGCACCCAACAGCATTGTGTGGGTTGGATAGTGGAGCTGGTTAGGTTGAACTAGGATTCAATGCCCACAGACATGTATGAGAGCTGAATGGGGGATGTGGGACAGACTGGACTAGTCTGCTGTACACACTAGCAAGCACAGGAACCAGGGTAGGAGGCAGGCCTGGTGGGGGTTATTGTGGGTCTCTCCAACTAGGCTGCAGCTCCCACTTATTTATGTGAGGGCCGAATGTGTGCTGGGCAGAATCAGGCTGGACTGCAACACCCATTGGTTCCAGTGGAAGACAGGGCTGGAAACAGAAGCGTCCCAGTAATTGCAACCACCAGCTGATTGGGGTGATAGACTACACTGGATCCTGTACTTGCCAAGTACACACAAGAAGCTGGTGTGGGATCACCTCAGACAAAGTTTCTTTGGGGATCTCCCATATCGAACGCTGGACTTAGAATCCAAACTATGAAAAGACAGAGGACAGAACAAATTGATCAACTACCTCAGCCATATGCTGGCAGTGAAAAATTGGGCAAACAGAGACTCTAAGATGGACTATGTCAATCAGTGGATTCTTCAGTGACCTCGTTGTGCTTGGAGTGAGACTGGCAGCAATTCATAACTGTTGAACTATGAAAACCACTTGAGCAAGACCCTCGGAGCATGCCCCACACCAGGGATCTGGGATGGGTGGGAGACTGGGTGGGGCTTCTTTACCTCCCCCTTTACCCCAGATACAGGGGGAAAATGTGGAAATAATAGTCTTACACACTTTCCTGTAGCCCTTGAACCTTTTTGCCCTAATTAACTATGTAAAGATTGTCAAAAATAAAAATTAAAAAAAAAAAGAAAGAAAAGATAGCACTACAAAGACAGCACAGCAACAAGTTGCCAAGGATGAAAGAGGGATGACAGCTGCTTTCTGATGATGTAACTTTCACATCTTGAGTTAGAGGCCACCCAGATTACACACCTCTCAACTCACCGGGCCTGCACAGCAAAAGAAAACTCTCTTCAACTACATAATCATTTGAAGAATACTTGTACAATTTAAATACATAACAAACACATGTTAGTTAAATACTTTCTAGTACATACATTTTATTTTTGATTTGCTACATTCACATTAGTTATTTCTGTTGAAAAAATAATTGACAGGTTCAAGAGAATTTCCTAACAGTCTTGCTTTATACCTCGGCTTTCATAGTCAATATTTCACTTTCTTAAATTTGTTTCATATGCTTTCTACACTTAAAGGCCTTCCATCAATATTGCATTCTGTATTTTATACAAAGTGTATATGTACTATTTAAAGAAAGTTCCTACCCAGTACCTTTCAAGGCATTGCCCAAGCCCCTTCATTTCCCAACTCCCAGCACTCCACCATGTTCACGTTCACGCCTTTCTCTTCTGGCTCTGTTCTTCAGCTCCTGTCAACTGCGCAACAATCACGCTCCACAAAGCAGAGTAAAATGGAGATTTACTCACCCTGCAAAGCTTCCATGGCGGGTGCCACTGGGGTTTGGGCATTGTAGGGGCTTTTTTAGCTATCAGTGCAGAGTTCTTGGTATTGCCACTCTCCACAATCATCTACACATGGAACAGATTATATCATTAAACACATCACATCAAAGGTTTCATGTAATCAATTAAACAAATGGAAACCAAAATGAGATGTTTATCACTGCTATACTTTCTGTATATTAACTTTAAAAAGCAACTTAAAAACACCTTCGTGAGAAAGAACACTTAAGTGTGGATATCAGTGTGTATGGTTCAAAACCCAGCCTCCTAGGTGACCGATACTGAAGTGATGTAACCTCTAGGGATCTCACTTGCGTGGTGGGAAGTACAGGGCCTGTATCACAGTGGTTATAAAGCTTTAAAAAGCTGCCCGTGGTTTCTGTAAGCTCCTACATCACTGCAGTCATTTTACGCGTATTATTGCCACCATGTTTGCACTGTCACATCTCAACATCACTGATTTAATAAATTCTTCCTTTCTATTAATTCCCTAATATTCACAAATTATTCCAACAAGTACACTAGCTGATTCCTTTTGAAATATACTATCACCATTTATTGATCCCCCAAATATTTCAGCCCACAAGGCTCTTGCCTAGATTAGGGCCCAGCACGGTAGCGCAGTGGTTAAGGTCCTCGCCTTGCACGCCCAGGATCCCATATGGATGCCAGTTCTATCCCGACAGCCCCACTTCCCTTCCAGCTCCCTGCCTGTGGCCCGGGAAAGCAATCGAGGATGGCCCAAAGCTTTGGAACCCTGCACCCGCGTGGGAGACCCGGAAGAGGCTCCTGGCTTCGGATTGGCATAGTATTGGCCGTTGCGCTCACTTGGGGAGTGAATCATCGGATGGAAGATCTTCCTCTCTGTCTCTCCTCTGTGTATATCGCCTTTCCAATAAAAAATAATAAAAATAAATCTTAAAAAAAAAAAAAAAAAGCCTAGATTACATCTTCCTGAAGAGATGGAAAGCATTGAAAATGGAACATTAAAAAAAAACCTGTAATGAAGATAACAAAACGTTCACTTCTTAAAGCCCATTTATGTTGGATAACCACACAGCAAATTATCAGTCGTTGTTCTGACAACTTTTACCTATACTAATGTCAACTGTTATTCACATACAGATAAACTTAAGTATTTCTAAATGTTCATTTAGCCAAACAGTTTTACCAGAAGGATGTATTGAATTCTCTAGTATTTAAGGCAAGACTTTTGGCATAAAGGTAAATAAGGCAACCTACACCAAGAGTTAGAAATCTTTAGTGCTACCTGACACAGGGAATCTTACCGCATTGCCCACTGTGGGCTGTGCACGGTCTGAAGCCCCAGGCAGTCGGTACTCACTCCCACCAGGAGCAGTTCGATTTGCATCGACCCTGAGACAGGAAATACCACATCTGAGCAATGCCTCTTCTAGTCATGCATTCTGCAAAACCAACGCTTAATTCCCTTTTCAAGCCATTGTGAGGGAAAATGTCATACATTGTTATAAAGAATCAAATGCACATAGTGGGAAAGAGAAAGGTGAACAGTGAAACATGATTTCAGAATCTTTATAGTAAGGATAGCATTTCTTACCTGGTCTGAGAAGATGGAATCGCCACTGCTAAGGACTGTGCAGCTGATTCACTTGGCATTCTTTGGATCTTAGTATCTGCCGTTAAAGCAACACCTATTAACATTAAAAGAAAAAAAAATCTTCATTAGTTGTTTTCACTTACATGCTTTCAAAACAAAACACTACAGGAAGACACACACCAGTTAGGATTTTTATCGCAAAAATTTTGCTTGTCTGTTTCTTTTTTTAAGATTTCATTTATTTTTATTGGACACAGATTTACAGAGAAGGAGACACAGAACGATCTTTCATCTGATGGTTCATACCCCAAGTGGCTGCAACATTCAGAGCTGAGCAGATTCGACAGGACCTCCTCCAGGTCTCCCACATGAGTGCAGGGTCCTAAGGCTTTGGGCCACCCTTGACTGCTTTCCCAGGCCAAAAGCAGGGAGTGGGGTGGGTAGAGGAGCAGCTGGGACATGAATCGGCACGCAATGTGATCCCAAGCATCCAAGGCAAGCATTTAGCCCCTACGCAGGCCATGGTGCTACGTCTGTTTCTGACTTTTTAATGAAAATATTGCCTAACAACACATAACCTGGGCCTGGCACGGTGACCTAGTGGCTAAAGTCCTTGTATTGCATGCGCTGGAATCCCGTAAATGCACCAGTTCATGTCTCAGCTGCTCCACTTCCCATCCAGCTCCCTGCTCGTGGCCTGGGAAGGCCGTGGAGGATGGCCCAAAGCCTTGGGACCCTGCATCTGTGTGGGAGGCCTGGAAGATCTTTCTCTTTTGTCTTTCTCTCTACAAACAAACAAAAAAAAACACAACTCAAATCTCATCAGCCCATAAGTATTAAAGCTGTCCCAGCTAGTAAAGCTAAACTCCCAACATCGCCTTCAAAAGTAAGAACCAGGCAGTTCTTCAAATACTAAAGTTCCGAAAGTGAATTTAAGTAACCAAAGCGGAGCACAAAGTTCCCTCGCAGTTCCTATTACAAGCACCAAGTGTGCTACCTCTTATGCCAGTCACATTGCTTACGGGCCAACTGCCACACAACCTTCCCACCGTACAGACTTGCACTGACAATTCTATCATATGTACATGGTCAGTGTTTTACATGCATTTCTAAAGCATGTAAACAAACAGATAACAAACTTCCCTAGGCTTGGAGCAGTTTTATTGTCTCTCAGTTCCTAATATAGTGCCTGAAAAAAATACAAAGGTTTAAAAATGTCTGCAAAATTACTGTAGATTAATATTAGTTAGCTATGATCTAAAAAGCTACATGTGGATGCCTGCCTACTGGATCTAACCTGTATTTTACAGATAATGGGAATTCATGGAAATACATGCAACAACACAGCAAGACATTCTCCACACTCACTCACCAGGTCCTGCAGGGTATGGATGTGGACCTGACACCAAATACTCAACTTCTTGTCCTAAAAACAAAGTAAATTAATCATTGGTGAATATATCATATTCAATGTCATCTTTTTCAATGTATTACCATTAAATTATTAAATGGATTTCTAAACTAAAATCTCAGATATACAAGACATGAATTATATTTTCAAAAGCATTATGAGCATTTGAGAGCTAAGCATTTCTCAGCTACTGCTTCCTCCTGACCAGCACTGGGACAGCAGCTGAGCAGTCAATCCAGGTCTCCTGTGGGCACAGAGTCCCGGGAGCCATCACTCACCTCCTCCTACGCATCAGGACCTAAGCACTCAATCCAGGTCTCCTGTGGGCACAGAGTCCCGGGAGCCATCACTCACCTCCTCCTTCGCATGGGTTGGACCGCTAGAACTGACAGCAGAGCTGGGACTTATATCAGGCATCTTAACTGGCATCCTTACCTCTAGGACTAAGGCCCAGACCATCGTTTCCACGGATCATGTATACAGCTATTCCTCCTTACTTGCTGATACAACTTCCACAAAGTTTGCGTACTTGTTAAATTGTGATCGTATCATATAAAGAGCTTACCATGTGACAATCCACTCCAGTTTTTCTTTTAACCAAATGGTTCTTTGGAACAAAAATCCCTAATACAAAATTCCAAAATCTAAAATGTTCCAAAACGTTCTGAATATTGAAATATCATGTGACATCTAAAATTTCACACCTAACTTTATATGACACAGCCAGACTAACACTAAATAAAATTACTTTCAAATTATGAATAAAAGGTATATATGAAACCTAACAATGTACTTGGGTCTATTTTATATATGCAGATATTCCAAAAATCTGAAAAATACCTAAAAACTTCTGCCCTCAAGCATTTTGTCATAGGATACTCAGTCTGTCTTTAAACTGTATCTCAATATTAGGAAGTAGTCTCACAGTAAGACAGTCATCCTTAAGTTATTTTTTGTTGCAGTGTGACCCTTCCCACCTCCTCAGAATTTATGTTGCCATTGTGCTACCATTTTTATTTTCTAAAGAAAAAAAGCCATCAATCAATCAATCCTACTCACACGACGAAAATCAAGTCTTCCACTGTAGTGCTGGTACAATTATAAAATACTGGTTGGCTGTGCCGAGTCCTTCCAGGAGTGCTGTTAGAACACTCCGTCACTACAGACAGGACCAGACTCACCTTGATTGGCAGGGTACTGCTTATGGTACGAATCTGCTGCATTCTGCGGGCCCTTCTCTTTCAGATTTTCCTTCGAGGTTGGCATATGCAACACAGGTCCATACTCATTACGACGCTTGATGGCCAGTTTCCGTTTGTGACTATTTAAAAATTACAAACATAACAAGGTATCCATAAACACTTCACATACATGCACAAAAGCCAAGTGTTATCAGACAGGGGCAATATCTTAATATCTAATGTCTGTCTAATATGTAAAAAAAAGTTTCAGGTAAGATTTTAAACATGATCTCAAGGAGCCTGAAATTTCTAACCGCACTTCCACATCATGAGTCTGTCCTCTGCTTCCCAGGCATTAAACCCAAGGAATATTTTAATTTGTCACCTACTAAACAAAACCCTTCATGATGAGTTACCATGGGTCAAACAGACTTAAACATATGTAGAAACTAATACACTCTTATAAAAATACCTCAAGGTCCATACACATTTCCTTCAAGTGTCTAAATACAGAAACAGTGAAAATGAATATGGTCACCTTAACCAGCTGTATCTAAAAAGGTTAGGACTAGTCAAAGTACTGCATCAATTCTGTATTTTAAGAAATGCCCTTCTGTGACTTTTATGAAAACATAATCTTACAAATGGAATAGAAAGGTTTGCTTGAGGAATTAAGCTTTAGAAACAAGGGCAAAGGACAAAGGAGGAACTCTACATAATGCAATCGCAGACTGGAGATGCAGAATCAAAAACTACGGCCCTAGTCACAGTAAGGAGAGAAGATGGGCAGAGGGAGTGGCCAGCTACAAGCTCAGCTCTGCAGCGCTAAGAGCAGTGGGGAGCTGAAGGCATGCACAGAGTGCCCGATTATAAGACAAATATCTAAAAACTGGATATTTGTACAACGCAATTAGTTAATGTAATTCTTTCCTTTACCATAAAAGGGCCAAAAAATGTTATATCAGCTTAAATTATGCCCAAACAGCATTCATCCAAGCGACAAGATGTGTCAGTGTTCCTAAGCCAACGGTAAAGGTCTCCCTGGCCCTGATCTCTTCTCCCAGTTGTCAGAACAGCTGGTACCCACCTCTCTTCATCCAGGGGCACGGGCTTCCCGTTGTCTGCCACAAACATGTCATGGGTCCTCTTCAGGGACCTGAACACAAGCGTGTGCACAGAGTGCTTCTGCACCTCCTGGAAGTAAAGCGTCACCCCAAAGTCATACTCCACGGCACACAGTCCACACTGCCACCGCAGCTACGAGGGGTCGGAGCCCAGGCAGGGAGACTGAGTGAGGCGGTGCGCATCACTTAGCTGACCCTACTGGGTCGCAGCACCTGCCTGCGGAAGTCAACGACCGCGGCAGCCCCCGGGCTCAAGAACAGGTGCATGAAGAACAAGGGCATGGGGCCTCGAGGCGATCGCAGCTGGATCTGAGTGTCCGTGCCAGACGCAGCCCAGTGCCAGCTTAGCTAGAAGGAGAACAGCCTTGGCCGGCGCAGACGGACACGCAGATGCAGAGCGCCGCTTGCGAGCCGCAGGGCCGTGCTGCCCACGGACGCCGCCAGCACCCGCACAGCAGCGCCGTGTTTCCTATGGACGCCGCCAGCACCCGCACAGCAGCGCCGTGTTCCCCCTGGACGCCGCCTGCACCCGCACAGCAGCGCCGTGTTCCCCATGGACGCCGCCAGCACCCGCACAGCAGCGCCGTGTTTCCTACAGACGCCGCCTGCACCCGCACAGCAGCGCCGTGTTCCCCACGGACGCCGCCAGCACCCGCACAGCAGCGGCCAGGGCGGAGCGGGACACCCCGACACCCGTCTCCGGGGGCGTCCCCTGCCCCGCGCCCGGGCCGGCGTCCGCTGCAGCCGCCGTCCTTTCCTCCCCGCCCCAGCCCTCCACACGCCTCCGCAGAGCCCGACAGCCACGTTACCTCCACCATGATGCCGCCACGACCGCAGCTCTGCTACAGAATGAACACTTGGCACGGAGGAAGAAGGCACCGTCGCCGCTACGGCCTCCCCGCCACTTCCGGAGTAGGCGCCCCGGCGCCGGATGTGACGCGAACCAGCGCGCCCGCGGCCTGGCGGCAGCTCGCGATGGACTCTGGGACGGCGTCTCCAGACTGAGGGCGGAAGTGCCTGAAACAGGGTTGGCTGGGCCAGAGTCATTGGGCACGGTTAGACAGTTCGACGTGAGCGTGTGTTAGGATCCTGCTTAGTTTTAATCAGCACGGGGTCGTGATGGATGTGGACGGCGCACCCGCCTGGATTCAGTTCTTTTCGCGATCTTGCTGGCTTTGGCGGGGTGCCTCCCGGATTCGGCGCTCTGGGCCGGAAGCGCCTGGAGCGCTCTAAGCTGTTGCTGAACAGCCGGCTCGGGCTGAGGAAGTCTGACATGTAGGATGCACACAGCACAGCCCCACCTGTACTTTGCTGCCCCGGAGCTGCACGCATGGTTCTCGGCTGCTGTCTAGCTGCGTGAATATGGGTTCAGTAATGCCGAGGGACAGCCGTAAAATGGCTGCAGGTGGGCATCTGCCAGCAAATGGACACACATCCCACCTCCATCCATTGCTCCACTGACACTGTCTAGGGGAGTGGGCGTGGGTGGAACATCCAGCGAGAGTATGGCAGTGTGATTCAACAATCTCCGTTAGGAATTCGTTACTTGTTACTTCGTCATTAAGAACATTAATGTGTTTCTTCTAGAAAATGCTGCCATCCCTGAATTTGAGTGCCAGTTTGACAAGTTTGTTTTCTGTAGCAGTGGTCCATGAAGGCTGACTTGGCGAGGAAATGTCCCAGGAATAAAATAACATTACATAACATTATAACTTACCTATAGACGATAATGCCTACAGGAAAGACTTAAAATGGCAACAGAATGAGGAATGTAAGCATGACTGAAGTACTTATGACGACGATACAAGGACTTGTGAAGTTGTCAGATATTTGATTGTCCTGGAAATAATATTTATAAGTCAAGATGTATTAAAATCAATGTGATTGAAGTAACTTGTGCTAAGTTTTGCTACTTTTAAAATGCTCTAGTGAATTTATAGGACTGCTTGAAAGTTTATGTTAGCTTGACATACGAATCTCGAGTGACCCTGTCATCAGAGACCCATGAATTTTGTGTATTGTAGACAAATTATGTACTTGTGTGTGAGCCTGCCTCCTCTTTCCATGCTTGGAGAAGACATCTTTTGGAGTTTCACTGGGATAGTGAAGGGATCCTGAACCCCAAACCTTAAAAATACCCGCCCAGCTGGACATCCCAAGCAGTTTCATTTGAACAGCAGGTGTCGCTACTACTCTTCCGAGGGCTTTCCTCAAACATATTTGGAGAAAGTTATTTAATGGCAGTGTTGGTATATCTGTTGATGTAAAAGCAATGGTGAAAATTCTAAAGAGACTCTTCATTAGCCAACAATTTTTAAACTTCATCCGCACTGAAAGTCTTTACTTTTCTGCAACTATTGTGCCCTTTCTTACTTTAGGTCAGGTGTATAGGTGCCGGTGCCTTTTGTGTCAGCTTTTTATCACATTTTTATAGGCAGTTTGATTCTTTTTATGCGTGCGATTGTGGATGGTACTACTTCTTTCTGTTTCTCGTCCAAGTGGTCTAGCCTCAGAACCCCTGCTCTTAGGCAGTGTGCTGTTTTATTCAAACTTTAGTAACTTTGGAATACAGGAAGCAAAATACCAAACTGAGGGCCTGAAAAGAATTTACAATTTGGTCACATGCTTATTTGTCATATGTGTGAATACATATAATATATACCATAAACCCCGCCGAAGGGCAAATGGAAAGTTTGAAAAATATCCACTATGTATATGTCAAAGGGCTAATTTTCTTAAAAGAGATCTCAAAAATCAAGTGATAAGATGAACAATCTTAAAGAAATGGAAGTTTGGCAGACTACTGAAAATTAAATATGGTGGCTAGAAGATGTAGAGTCTTCAATGGCTCTAATCCAATGAAAGAAATGTGAACAAACCAAACAATGGAGAACCATATTTTGCCTCACAGAAAAAGTTTTACATTTGATGAGACCCCGTGTTTGATGAGAACTAATGAGGGTGAGAGGAAAGTTTGGCAGGAGTGTAAATAGAGGCAATCTTTCATAGCTAGTACTGAACTAGTGAAAAAAGGTTTCACCATCTCGAGTAACTTTCTTTTTAATTTTTATTGCACAATTCAGATAACAGAGAGGAGAGGTAGAGAGGAAGATTTTCCCTCTGCTGATTTACTCCCCAAGAGGCTGCAACAGGCAGAACTGGGCCAATCCCAAGCCAGGAGCCAGGAGCCTCTTCTGGGTCTCCCACATGGGTGTAGGGTTCTAATACTTTGGGCCATCCTTGACTGCTTTCCCAGGCCAGAAGCAGGGAGCTAGATGGGAAGTGGGGCCACCAGGATTAGAACTGGCATCCATATGGGATCCTGGCGCATGTAAGGTTGAGGACTTTAACCACTAGGCTACTGTGCCAGGCCCTTGAGTCACTTTCTAAAGAGGATCTGTATAAATGTATTTCCCTCATATATATGTGTATGTATGTTTGTTGATGTACAGCTCCATAGATGCAAAGATATGTTCATAGACACTTATTTTGCCTGAGTAGGACCAGCATAACAATAAGCGATCAGTTTACTTTGTGTGTAATGGGAAGAAATGGTCCATCAGAGCAGATGCAGTATAGACTATGGAGTTGGAAAGGCAGGGTTCAATTCCTTGTTTGCAGATTGCTTTGGCCACTTTGCTCTTTTGTACCTCCATGCCCCGTTTATTTAATGGGAATAAGTGTATTCTTCCCCCGCAGGGTTATTGGAAGAATTACGTGTGAAGTTCTGGGAACAGTGATTGGCACAGAATGAATTACTCTGTAAGTGCTTGTTGCAGTACAGTCATTGCCCCATTTGCCATTTTTTTAAAAAGGGGTAAAGCTGCCCCACAACCAGAGGTCAACTGTCATGTCCAGGCAGCTTGTTTT